AAATTATTCTATTCTATTAATTAATAAATATTATAATTATCAATAAACTTTGATAGCATTCGAATCCGTGTTCTGTTTTATGAGTAAAAAAAGGGTCTCAAGTCTTTTAGCCCGCACACAGAAAGATTTAGTGCTGGTAACATATCTCCCAGCTTATTTATTCCTAAACCGGAGTTTAGTAACTTCGCCGAATCCTGATGATGTGCTCGGCAAAGAGATGAAGAGCTGGCACCGCAAGCTTAGGTTCGATTCAGAAAATAGAAGAGAGCAAAACAAAGGTAAAAAAACTCTGCCTTATGTTGAAAATCAAATTCATTTTATTTAATTCGAGTCCAAATAGCACATTTTTTATGTGATAAAGTGGCAAACGAGCTGTGCGGTTCACCTGATGTTAAGTGATAACTGCAGCCCATGGACTTTTGCAACACCCATATTTGCAACCCGCAAATGCGTTGCCACCTTTAAATAAAGTGGGCCCCGGCTACCTCACTCACCAAACGAAATGCAGTAGTGTAACACTTCCAGTTTACGCCGGTCTTCTGTGAGGTCGTGGTGCTTACCACAGTGAATTCTGTTTCTATTGGTATTCAATTAAAGGTTTAAATATGTTTTTCTTATTTCACAATTTTATTTATAAAACGTGGTAAGCGCGCAGGTACCGCCTGATGTTAACTGATTAACCACCGCACCAAATGCAAATGCGTTGCCAACCATGGTTAGAGTGAGCCCCGATTACCTTCCTCATCTGAGGAATTGGAGAAGCATAATACTTCCGCAAGCTGATCTTTTAGTCCGTGGCACTTCCTCAGACGAGACTGTAAATTCGTGCATAAGTAATCGCCACGTGCCCACATAGTCACAAATATTACAGAAAATACATATGAATGTCCTGCCCCTATGTATGCTTAGATCTTTAAAACTACCCAACGGATCTTGATGCGGTTTTTTTACTAGATAGAGTGATTCAAGATGAAGGTTTAAATGTATTATAATACATTACACCCGTGTGAAGCCTGGGCGGGTCGCTAGTGTAAAATAAATCTCTTGGAGATATTCAAGCAAGGTAAATATTTACAACTTCACGGTAAACAACAATTTTAAGAGTGATAAGAACAAATCGGCTCGTTTCGCCTCAAGCTGTAGGTTTGACCTTTAACTTTATATTTGATATCATTGTTTACAAAACTGGCAGGCTAAAGGACACATGCTGTTATTGTAACTCACGCCTTTTAAGCGTAGCGGAGTTTCGGCGTTGTACGGATACATCTATTATCGTGTCATCGAGTTTGTTAATTAGCTAATGTGACGAGAGGTGAACTTGTCATAGTACCGCGGGCGAAAGTTTTGCAATGAATTTGGTCCATGGGAAATACGACGAACCAAAACGGAAAGTATTGATGTCACTCGGTCGTGATGACATCTCAGTCAACATCCACACCAACTAGACCGACAATATTTGAGATAATAAGTCATAATAAAATTTTTGTAAAAATATTTTAAATAAACTCCTGTGATCACAAATACCATAGCGTTAAAAACGTGGGGATATTAAGAAAGAAATGAATTGTTAACCGTGTTTAGTATCTGAGTTAGTAGAGGAAATCATGATTTGTAATCAAGTTAGTATTATTAAAAGTAAATTATTTAGATAAGTCTCCGTTTTCGGAATTTTGCATTCGGCAACATTTACGATTTATGACGGTAGTTATTCCATTTTTCGAGCTTTTTTATACAGAGAAGCTATGTTTACTAGAACGCCTTTTATTCCATTAAATGTAGCTAAAAATAACAATTATATTTTAAACCTTGATCTTTAAATGTGCAACTGTGATACAAGTTTCTGTATCTCAAACGTATTTTTGTTTATATTGGCTTTTATTATCAGCAAGGTTAAACTTTCAGTTAGTGCATTGGCCGGTGAATCGACAACGATAAACGTTTTCTCTTATTATTTTTATTATTGCAATACATACAAGATTATAAAAAACGCCATCATGGGTCAAAATTCAAAGATTATAAATCACATCTAAGTCAAGTTTTCGATACATTTTATTAAATAACAAAATGAATGTTTCATGGACACATTTGTACACAACGTTCTCTAGTCCCAAACAACGTAACGTGTACTAAGGGCACTACATGACTGATAAGTATACTTAAACACACTTTTCTTTTGTAAATAAATACATATGATAGATATTTAACACCCAGACCCCGGAAAAATTATTATTTTTATCACACAAGAACCACTCACATCTCTATTTATTTAAACAATAAAGTAGAATTTATTTTGCAGGACTACTGGTACCTTACTGTAACTAACAACGAAAGTAATTTACATGCAAATGTAGTAGATTTGCAAGATCTGACTGATATGTAACTTATGTTTATTATAAATAATTACGGAATTTATTCACTTAAAAAACTGTCGGTGATAATTATAATAATTATGATAAAGGTCAGCGATCAAATCATTGTTTAATTTTTTCATACGATTGTAGTCTTAACAATTTGATTATTATCTTATGTTGACCAAGCGCTAGAGATATTAACTTTCTTTCTTTCTTTTTTTTTTTTTTAAAAAACACTGCCCTTACTTTAGGATAATATTATCCTGTGTTGTAAAGGACGTTTTACAAACATAAATTTCACGCGGACAAACACCCAGATGCGAAACAACTATCTGTGGGTCACACAAATAGTTGTCCCGTGTGGGAATCGAACCCACGACCCCCGACGCCGAAGCCAATACCTTGGCAACTGCGCCACGGTATCATAAAAACTATATTAAAAACAAGAAAGAAAAGGAATAAAAACAGTAAAAACACAATTCCTTGACCGAGGAGAAAATGTGAGTACATTATATTTTAACCGCAATGTTACATTGTATCACTTTTATCAACAGTATTGTGTATCGAGAATGTTTCCACAAAATAGCCGATACTGAAATGCAGAGGTTAAGGTCGGAGTAGTCATAATCTGTAGATTCCAGACAATGCAGATTAATAAAATCTGAAGTCTGTTGCCACATATAAAAAATATAGAAATTGTCAGGGTTTAGCTAATAATAAAATACACGAGACCTCATAATAATGATCACAATATACTTCAACAGAGTTCACAGATTCTTACCATTTATACAAGTCGGAAAAAAAACGATTTGTGAATCAACCACATTATCATCACTTCCGTCGGTTGTTGGAACGAACAATTAATCTTCAATAGTTTACGAACAACAAATAAATAAAAGTATAACTATTTTATATAAATATTCGCGTAATTCATCACGAATTACTGAAAAAAAAAATTGTCATTTATCGTATGAATTAAAAAGCATAATAACGACATCAAAACGGTCGCTTCGATTACATTGTTTGTGTATCACGATTTATTTATTATACACAAACTGAGAAGCATACACAGACCGTCCCTAATCTTGTTTACGAAGTGTGCTAAATACAGTCTAGGTCTATTGCTAGGCGCAGATAAAAGCGCTGCGAGAGTGTAATTAATGTTTGTAGAATGTTATCGATACGAAATTTGCGAGGCGCTATCACTGTTGCGTTTTATGAGCTGTTTTATTCTTGTTGTTCATAGGAAAATCACCGGAGTTGGAACGTGCCAGTCTTATTTAATCTATTCTTAATTTGACCACCCGTTTCGATGCCCCTAAATACTGAGCAATTTGATTATGTGCAGTAGTGTTACTTTTTTGTCGATAATTTGACTATATACTCTGCTTAGGGAATATCATGAAATGAGCCACCCCTAAATGTTAATAATGACGTAGGGAGACGCTAACTCCGTTAAGAAATTATAGATATGAGAGATAGACACAAACTTGTCCACTCTTGCGGTACTTTGAAGAACGAAATAAAACAAAGTAGCTTCAGTTACGGACATTGATTTAGATTTACATCGACAACCAATGTTTGAATGATACTCACAACTGAATATTCAGGATATGAGCATTCAGGATAAGTCCTTTATCGATATAGGTACTTCTTTGATAAAACTTAATGGGATTAAGAAACTCTCATATCCACATAGATATCGATAAAGACAGAAACTTAACTATCAAAGCTAGATTTGGAGCATAAAATCTTTGGATCTACTAATTTCCATTAAATTTAAAAGGTCAAAATACAATTCGGTTATTAACAAAAGCGCTGAACTTTTTGCTTTTCCTTTAGCTATATCCCCAAGGGTTTATATTAACTAAGTTACGAGTATATAAGTACATATGTATATTTTAATGAACTTTTGTTCAATAACAATTACGTTATCAGCGATATTCTTGTTTTTCTTCTTTCTCGACCTGAGACTATTATTGGAGTCGAGATATCAGTTGTTATTTCTCGTATTCAACAACGAAATGGTGTTGTTGCCACTTGTTATTTTAAGGGCTGCCTGCATCCAAATAATAATATTTAGAGGAGACGAAAGATAGTCAAGTTTGAGGAATGCGCAACTTGCTTTTTAAAAAGACACTAAATCGATTATTAATATTTAATGTTGATTAAAAATTACAAGTGAGTGATACAATCGGATGTTTAATACAGACTGTCCTTACGACTAAACTTAATACTAAAAGAAACGAGGGCTGGAACTGCTGCCTCTGCATTTTCGTCGTCGTCGGAACATTCCACTTCGCGTTACTATGCGTGGGAACCGCGGGCGCTAACTAAGCGTTATTGAGGAACAAAGGGCCAGGAACGGGAGTAGATCGTGTAACTCCTCCCTCCGCAAGATCGGGATTATCCGCAGGGTGGGGATGATCCCGAGTTTTCCTAAAATACGATTACATATTTTCCTAATACTATTCTTAAAAGCTAAAAGTACAATACACGATACCACTATTACAAAGAATGCTATGTTCCCTACACCAATGCTTTTTGGGTTAACCATACTATTATAATTTTCACTATCACTAAATTCACTTCCACTCTTTTGTAATAGATAATTCAGGAACTGAATATCGGCAAGGTCCACTCTGTTTAGTTTACGGGTTTCTGGAGACCAGGCGTTGGGTTTGCTTGAATTGTCGGTAACTGGATATTTGGGAACTTCGGATAAGATATTTCTTTTCCTCGATTTTGGCGTTTCTTCAGCTTGAGGTCTTTTATTCTAATTTCGCAGTCGTCGTCTATGGTTAATAGGTAAGTTCCGAAAACAGGTTCTTGTGAAATTTCGTCGTTGCAATACTTGGTCAACAGTGTTTCTGTTTTAGCATAAATAATCCATCGGTTTGGTTGTATCAGGTATGTTCTTACGTTATTTATGGTCACGGATACTGGCTGACAGGAAGTAATGTTTGTGGAAAACTTCATGAGATCAGTGATGCAGTCATCTTCCATCGGTGGTATATTATTTTCGAAGCATAGGAAGCGGGCTTCGTCGATCTCGCTGCATGGCTGGGAGAGTGGCATTGCTTTCAACCCTTTCACAAGGATATAAGGATATTTACGAATAATGAGGGAGGTAAGGTCGCTTCTGGTATTATAGATAGGTACGGGAATCAATTTAAAGTAGTTAAAGACATCATTTCTGATTAGAGAAATTTGCATGATTAATTTTATCTGATTTTGTTTTACGTAGGCTTTTAATTCTATAGATTGCTCTATTCTTACTATATTCTCTATATTAGCTGGAAACACAAGCTTGTCGGTTTTCTCAATTTTTCTTAATAATGCTATTAGTTCGTCTATATCTATTATTGATTGGTGTAATTGGTTTACTTTGGCAAAAGCAATGACCGTTTCAATTTCATTTAGCCTTAGATAGAGAGTTTGAAATCGGTTGAGGAAAGCATTATAGATATGGACAACTCTATTAATCGATTGTAAAACTTTTGATTCGTTTAATTTGTGAATAATATCTTGAATGCTTTCTTCAATTTTTACAAAATTACTTTTGGTAGAATTTGCTATTTTTGAGAATGAACCCAACATTTCAGCGACGATTGTTATTTTACTGTTTAAAGTGTTTTGTTTCGCCTGAATATCCTGAATTAATTTTTCATACCTTACAGCATCATCGTTATCAAGGTTTCCAGTGATTGTCTTAATTAATGAGCCAAGGGGATTTAGCAAACCACGCTTAGATCTTATTGACGGGTTTAGTTGTTTAAATTTTTCTATAGTTATGTTCATGACATAATCGGTTTGTGTTTCGACGTCGGAAAGGTCCGAATCTAATATTCTACTATCAAAACAGTTTTTGATCTGGCTTTTTAACTTTACGTAACTATTCATATTGGATTCTAGTTCCTCATATAATAATTCTAAATCTAAAATTTTAATGAGTGTTCAAGCGTCATGGCTGACCAGGGCTTGTCCTTCTTTAATAGGTGGTCCGGGGTTCTTGTCAATCCGGTGTAGAAGAAAGGCTCCCGTCTGGACCACCAGAAGGAGTAACCTGCGGAGGGCGTTTGATATCTTTAATAGGTACCTTGGTGTTCCTATTATTCGTAGTGATGGGTACCACGTTACGTTCTATGACTCCAGTAACTTGAGCCATTTGATACCGTGGTTTATCTTTGCCGCGCCTAGTGTTTACCCCTTTTATGTACACTGTGTCACCTATGTCTATGTCGAAATTTGTATCACCACCTCGCTTCTTTATTTCCGTCTGTTTTTTGTCTATGATCTTATCTGTGTGATATTTGTATAAGTATTTCGTTCGTCGGGCATGTTCTTTTACGAGTTGTTGTGTAAATTGCTTGTTGAAATCGACGTGAAATACGTTATTTGATTCCGTGTGGCCAAAAACTACTTCAAAATGGGGTGAGACCCGTTGTAGAATGTATTGTGTGGTTATAGGACATTATGGCGTATGCCATAACTGATGCAGCATCTGTTATCTTTTGTTCATATTTGGCAATCCTATATATTTCTATGATGGTGGAGTGAAATCGCTCGACTACCCCCATGGAGTTTGGGTTATGAGGAGTGCCTATGTGGAGATCTATTTTATAAAAAGAGAGCATTTCCTTCATTAATGTGTTATTGAATTCAGTACCAGGATCTGAACTGATTCTATTGGGTGTTCCGTATAAAGAAAAGTACTTTATTAAGGCTCTAATAACGTCAGGTGTGGACTTGTTATTAATTTCGATCGCTTGACCTAGTTTACTAAAGGCATCCACGATTGTGAGATACTGCTTTCCGTCAATCAAGAAGATATCGATAAATAACTCTTGGAATGGTCTATTTTGTGTTTGTGTTAATTGTAATTCCGGTTTCAGTGGTTTGCGATCATATTTAATTTTTCTACAAACTTCACATGCATCAATAATGCTAGCTATTGTCTGACTCATGTTATTCCAGTAGAACGTACGTTTTAGGTGCAGTAAAGTCTCCTTTATACCCCTATGACTATTTTTGCCTGCATGGTATTTAATTATGATGTCGCGCTGTTCCTGTTCGTCGTCCACATATATTACTCTTTTTGTGCATTCGTAGAATTTTACCATTCCTTTCTGAAAAAGTTTCAATATTGCTTCTGAGAACTGTTTGCGGTGCTGTGTGTCTTCGAAGTAAAGAAAGTATTTTATTTTGGGTCTTATATAGCTTTTCAGAAATCCTTTAATTAGTTCTGGGTTGTCCAGGGGTAGGTGGATTTCTAGGACCTTTTGCTTATCCCTAGATAAGTCTTTAACGGATATTTTATTTCTATTCCATGTATGTACGAGTATTTGGTTTGGTTTGGTATCTATGGCTTCCTGTAATATAAGCATACCATTTGTATCAAGATCTTTTGCTGAATGAATTGTATCTATGGTACTCATATCATCTCGTCCTTCAGATGCAGATGCAGTACTAATTGTAGTCGGTATGGAGTATGGAGATTGTCTACTCTTGCTCTGGATGGATAAGGTATTCTCATCGGAGTCGGATGAAATTTCTATAGGGGTCGGTGAGCTTTCATGTGACGTAGATGCTGCATTCCTCTGATTCAATTTTTCTATTTCACTAGTTAATTCAGCAATATAGCGTTTGAGTTTTTGCTCCTTTTCATCCACGTTCACCTGCATTGACGCGTCGTCGTCTTCACTTAACGCGTTCACCTTGATTCTTGATAAAGCGTCGGCATTACAATTTTGTTTTCCTTCCTTATGTTTTATTTCATAATCAAATTCCGCAAGCCGCAGTTTCCATCTTGTTAACTTGCTATTCGGTTCTGATATTGACTTGGCCCACATAAGTGGTCTGTCGGTATATATGATAAATTTTGTCCGTAAAGGTAAGGTCTGAAATGTTTTGTGGCCCACACTATCGCTAGGAATTCCTTTTCGATCGTGCTATAGCGTGTTTCTGCGTCATTCAAAGTACGGCTCGCGTAAGCTACCGGTTTGTCGCTGCCTATAGGTCCTTGGGATAGTACAGCACCAATTGCATAATTCGAGGCGTTCGTTGTAAGAATAAATGGTTTGGAGAAGTCTGGAAATTGTAAGAGCGGTGCGTTTGTCAAGAGCTCCTTGCATCTTTCGAATGCGTCTATGTATTCTTTTTTTGTACAGTCAATTCTATTTTTCTTTTTTAGACATGATGTAAGAGGTTGCGTGATTTTAGCAAAGTCTTTTATAAATTTCCGGTAGTAACCTACCAATCCAAGAAAACTCTTAATTTCAGTAGACGTTCGTGGTAGTGGGAATTTCAATACAGCTTCTATCTTGTCGTTATTGGGCTTTAAGCCGTCTTTCGTAATTGTGTGTCCAAGGTATAGAGCTTCTTTTCGTAGGAATTCACATTTATCTAAGGTAACTTTGAGATTGGTTTCCCTGAGTCGATCAAAAACTTTCCTGAGTTTGTCGATATGTTCTTGCAGGCTGTTAGAGAACACTATGATGTCATCAAGATATACCAGGCAATGTATACCCTGAAGTCCTCGTAGCACGTTGTCCATTGCCCTCTGGAATGCTGCAGGAGCTGTCTTGAGCCCGAACGGGAGTCTTTTGAATTCGTAATGTCCTGTCTGTGTGGTGAATGCCGTTTTTGCCCTGTCTGCTTCGTTTACTTCAATTTGATGGTAACCACTGGCCAGGTCTATGGTGCTAAAATATTGGGATTTGCTTATTTTATCGAAAATATCTGTTATATTTGGCAATGGATATTTGTCGTCTACGGTTATTTCATTGAGACGTCTATAGTCGATGACCATCCTATATTTTTTTTCTCCAGTTGCATCTAATTTCTTTGGCACCAAATGAACGGGCGCACTCCAAGGTGAGTGGGAATCAACTATTACATTATCTGTCAAAAGCTTATCTACCTGTTTCTGAATTTCTTGATTAACAGCAGGCGGGTGTCTATAGGGCCTGATGTAGATTGGGTCTTCGTTGGTAGTCCTAATATTGCGCTTTATTTGGTTAGTAAATGATAATGGTATTTTATCACAATAAAATATGTCACGATACTCATAACACAATTTAGAAATATACTCGCGTTCTTCTTTATTTGTGTGGTCAAGTCGTAATTTTTTCAAGTTTTCTTTTAGTAGGTAATCAGTATTAAGGTCACCTTCTATAACTAACTGGTTAACTTCACATTCTTCATTCTTATAAATGGTTACGTGAAAAGGTTCTTTAAAAGTTATAACGGCTTTTACTTCAGAAGCGTTCTGTATGACCGTTTCAGCAAAGTAGTTCTCGCACTTTACAAGTGCGGCTGGCATACGGACGCCTTCCTGAAATTGTTTGTAGTCTATCAATGCTTCACCATGTTGTAAGTCAGTGGGAATCCTAATCTTCCTCTCAGTTCGTGTTGGTATCTCGATCTCATATGGTGGGTCGTATATTATAGGAATATACGCGTTGTGGGTCACCAACATTTGGTTACGCATGTCAATGTTTGCTCCTAATTTAGATAAAAGGTCAGATCCTATTAACCCGTCGTAACGTTTGTCTACGTCATACACATAAAATTTTTGGTGGAGATGGCTCTTGAAAGTTTTCAGCAATGGTATGTATATAATTTCATCATGTGTGCTCTGAGCATGAGTGCTAATAACTTTAAAAGGTTCATAGTATCTAAAATCATTAAAGTATTCTTTAACTTTTGCGGGACTTATAAAGGAACGCGAACTTCCCGTGTCAATAAGAAATTTAGAGTTAATTGAGGTATTTCTATGTGTGGTAATTTTTGGATGCTGTTACAATAATTAAGGTTTATTATTTCTCCACATTCGTCGAGGCCGTTTCCCGAAAATTTTCCGAGTTTACAGGTATTTCGTCATGGGTATTTTCTTCATAACTATTTTCCTGGTATGCGAGACTTACTTCGTCGGTATTTTGGATATAATTGCATTCGTTGACGGAGTACGGTGCACCGTTTCCATATGAGTCATAGTTATAGTCATAATTATACATAGGCTCGTCGTAGTAAAGCTCATTCACAAGAAGGTTCTGCCTAACAGGGGCGGTACGCAT